AGGACTGCGACATGAAAGTAATTTATTTATGAGGTGTTTGGACGGGCGTGCTACAAGCCGGCTGATAACACCGCCACCGCGCTATTCAGCCCCAAGAGCTCCGACTATGTGCTTGGTCTAGGCGGCCACATCGGCACGGCTATGCCAAGGTTTCTTGAACAGGGAATCTCCGGTGCCGACGTGTATGAGCCGAGTGGCACTTAGGACACTCTGCAGAAGAACCTGGGAAAGGATGCCCGAGTGACATTGCACCAGCAAGCCGTAGTCCACGAGACATCGTCCTCGCGGTGTGGTGGTTGCAAGGCCGATTTTGCTCACCGGGCCGGCGGTGAGACTTTCTACTTCAAGCAGGTCCACAGCCACCAGACTTTGGTGATGGCCACAAGCTTCTCGGCGGCCACTCGGTTCCAAGTTCATCAAGCGGCTGAAAACGCAGCCCACGCCGACCTGGTTCGGCCCTGCTCGTGCAGACTTCTGCGTCAACGTGGCGGACTCCCAGCAACGTCTCTTGAAAAGGCCCGCCGACACGTCCTTTACCAACTGGCTAACTTGAAGCCTTGCCCGTCTTTCGCAGATTACACAGGCTCCAAGACAGGATCTTGGAAATCTTCCGCTTGTCAGGTGCTTCGGTTGCGGCCTGCGGCAACCCGCCAAGTGCAGTCTCGCTTGAGGAAGCTTTGAGAGTACCAAGGGTCGAAGACAGGATCTTGGAAATTGCCATGTTGTACATCTTCACCTTCGCGCAACAGCTGAAAGACGTGTCAGCATGCTATGAATACTTCTACCAGCACAGAGGCAGCCCTTGCTTCACGCGCTGGAAGCTTACGCAGCTCTTGCTGTTGACGTCCGGTGCTGGACTATGGGTTATACGAGGAGCGTCCCGTGAGGATCTGTGCATTAGCAACAATCTTATCCAGTTCGAATGCCCAGACAAGAGTTTGGAGAAGGTCAGCCGCACGGTGGCAGAAGATTGACCGGAGCCTTCATCCTTTTCTACACCGGCGCAGGCGGAAGCCGCCGCTCCGAACAAGCGCAGCGCCAAAGCGCCCTTCCACCCCTTTCTTCTGCCCGGCAAGAGGCGGTAGCAATCGCCGAGTTTCGGCTTTGCTGCTTCGATTTTGGTCCAGCCTCGCTCGGAAACTCCCTGATCCACGAGTTTTGGGTAGCGAGAGCTTCGGTGTTCGGGGTTGTGTTGCGGCTTCGAAGAACGGCATGCCTTCAGGTGTTTTCGCGTGCTGCTCGGGGAGATTCATTGCCTGGATGTCGACGCTGCCCCTGGAGATGGCCTGCCCTGTTGCTGATTTGTGCTGGAGTTTTGTAGTGTCGGGCCCAGTAAAGCAGATTGTCGCAGGGGCGATGTTGGAGCTGGACCTGCAATGCTTGGAGGCGATCCAGGCCAGAACCCCAGTCTCAGTGAATCTGTCGCAATGCTCGGACTCAGAGGACCTGCTGGTCGGCTTGCTGGAGCCGTTGCTGACAGCAGTGCCAGGCACTTCTTGCAGGGTCCGGGTGTTGTCGCTGAGCCTTAAACTGTGACGAGACTCCTCAGAAAAAAGGTACAGTGCAGAAGAAGCTGCAGGCAAGCGGTGACCCCGACCCAAGGCTCCCATGCCTTCCCGCAAAATGTGCCTCAACACCGGCGCCTTCAATCTCTTCTTCAGGAGGAGGGGAGCCACCCTTCTGGTAACCCGGATGCATCGCGCCAGAGTACGGAGGGCAAAGGCTTTTCAGATTTCAGTTTTTTCTGGCAGGGAAGCTTTTAAGGCTGAGGTTCATACAATTACGGCTCAACAAATCGCATATGACGCAATCTCGAAGCCCTCTTCTGAAAGAAAGGCGAGAAATGCAGGATCGGCATCGAAGACCGAACCTCTAAGGCTTGCGGTTCAATAGTGTTTGACGAGGTGGCCTCTGTATGGCCATCGCATCCAGGCACCGACTGGGTTTTATCAGAGGACATTCTCTGCTGGGGCATACGTTTTTGACTCTTGGCTTGCGCACTCTCCACAAACGAGCGGTGCTTGAGTTGAGTTGAGTCATATTACGCCACTGTGCACATATGTTCTCTTGGTGAATCGATTGCTGCCGTTTGTTAGACTCTCTTCGAGAGCTTATGCTGGGTTCACAATGATTGGTGTTTGCAGAGCGGGTGGAATGCCGGCATCCTTATCCCAAAATCCACACACCCTTGGTGTTTCAAGGGCCAACCCACAAGACAAACATGTACACACGAGCAGGCTTGCATGCATGCATGCATGTGTGCAGACAGACCAGACAGGCAGACTGACGGACAGACTGACACACACACACACGTACACGTACACACACACACACACAGGCAGATGTTTTGTTTCACGACACTCCTCAATATAATTCGCCTGAACGATCTCGCACCGCGCACAACCTTTCTCTTGCTGCCTCAGTCTTGCCCTGACGAGCTCCGAGCCCTGCCTCACCCCCAACGCATTTCCGAACAAACCCCCGAAACGCCAGATCTCCAGTGGAGGCCTTCCGCACCGCTCAGCGGCGACTCCTCGAAGCAAACCTGGAAGACCTCCGGGCTCTCCGGACCAGGCGCTTTTTTGAGGAGTTGATAACGAATGGTGCCTGATTGTGCAGGAATCACTACTTCAGCATCATTCTTACTATCTATAAGTCTGTGATGTGTACTGTTGTGTACTGATTTATCTACCCTGTGGATATTTTTTGGCATTACTCAACTCTTGCTTCGTTTGCCTTAGCAGATTTGCCTCTGTCTTCAGAAGTTTGTTGTTGTGCGTTCGTTTGCTTTCTTGCTGCCACTGCCGCTGCTTGTCCATTGCTATAGCCTGTAGCTGTTCGCAGTGTTTTTATTAGGTGGTTGAGCTCATAATTCTAGCAATCTTATCGGAACGCAACCTCGCAGTGATATGGTACAGTGAAGGCCACAGTAGACAGGCGTGACAGTTCGAAAGCTTCGAGAAAATTCTTCACAACGACCGTGCGCATGGTCCTTGTCAAAACGCATCGACGTAGCCCCGAGAGTCACGAATGTCCTAGGTGTACCAGGAATTATGTCGATGTAAATACGCATGAACATATTTCTTATTAGCGACGTGCAGGAACACCGCTTCAGATTATGCTGCCGCGATTTTGATAGACCTATGTGGAGATCCACTGCAGGGACGACAGGAGCATGCCACGAGTCACGAGGATGCTCTGAACGTTCCTACGCAGCGCGGAGACAGTACACACCTGACTCCTGAACGGGGAATGGCCGTTCGTACATACAGCGATCAAACATGCCATCAGACCCGCTTCGGCCTGCAAGGTGGGCAGTCGAAACCATGTGCTCAGGAGAAGTGGGTCGTGACGTTGGCATCGTATACCGAGCCCGGTTGCCATGGGCTACACGCAATCCGGGCGTCATGGCAATGTGCCGGTGGCTTCTACCAACTTACATCGGCTGAGGCTGTATGGGATGCAAATACGGCCATATACGGCCATGACCCGCACCTCAACGCACGTAGTACCAGTTCTACTTGAAGGGGGTTTTCCGGGCCGTTGAAGTGGAGCCAGGAGAATCCGAGCAGCTACTAGAGCTGATGACAAGCTCCCAAAAAATGGTGTGGGAAGACATCGTACAGCACAGCACAGCATAACATGATTCATGTGCAAGACACTGGTACTGGTAGTGATTCGCTTGCAGACCATCTTGTGTACGAGTGCCTTGCCACAGACAGACTTTTGGCAAGACGATGTTCCCTCACTTGCGGGGCTTGCTCCCCACAGAAGCGTGCTTTGTTGGATCCCGCATGATCCCGCGATTTTGCAACTTGCGGGTTGTCTGACAAAATCAATGAAGCTCAATCTCGTACCGGTTGGGTTGAGACAAATTCTGACCTGCACGCTGCCCAGAAGTTAATGCATTTTTGCATGGAAATCGCCGCACGTGAAACAGGCCGACCAAGCTCGGTTGGCGCCATTTCGTCTTTCCGTGCATGCCGGTCTACTCCTAAATAAAACCTTGGAGTTTGACCTCGTCATGTCCAAACTTTATATTCGCATGTGGTGTAAGGTGTCCAGTGTCAGCATGTGTGGTTGCCGGTGAGTGTGTCCGACCTGGCAGGTGTCCTGGACTCAAATTCAACAGAGCGGCACCCTACTGTACCTTGTAAAAGTCGCATATTGCTACATCACCTTGGCCTTTCGCCAGGATCAACCACCGTTACCATCACCATCACCATCATAATCATCATCATCATCATCACCACCACCATCACCATCATAAATAGCATCATCATCGGCACCTTCATCGTCGTCATCATCATCACCATCATCATCATGCTCATCCTCGTCCTCATCATCATCACCATCATGATCATCACCATCATCACCATCATCACCATCATCACCATCATCATCATCATCACCATTATCATCATCACCACCATCACCATCACCATCACCATAACCATCAGCATCATCATACTATGAGACCTCCACCACCACCGCCGCCGCCGCCCCCACCAGCACCAGCAGCAGCAGCAGCAGCAGCAGCAGCAGCAGCAGCAGCAGCAGCAGCAGCAGCGGCAGCATTCGCAGTGTTATTCTGATGCTCGTTCTCGTTCACATCCTCTCCTCGTTGTGGCTGTGTGGTCGTCGTGGCCGTCGCCGTCGTCGTCATCGTGCTAGCATCAGAACTATTCGCTCTTTTGCGTATTTTGAAGTATGATTCTGGGGATCTTAAGTCTTAAGTTGAACTCTGCTGGACAGGCTGTGGACCCTCCCGGTGCCCCAAAGCCAAAGCGCCAGGCTGGCAAATCGCGACGAGCCGGCACCGAAGAAGCCTCGGCTCTGAGGAAATAAATTGATCTTCGGATGTTGACGAACCCTGATTGAGATATCGTCCTTGAAGCTTGCTTGTCTTTCCAAGGAAAGCCCAGGCCCTCAACCCTGTACCCCCGTTCCTCACGCAGGCTGCCTTTAACTCAGAGTTCCAGGGCGACCTGAGGACTCTGAGGCCAGGATCTGCCTTGTGGCGACTTTAGTTTCGTAGATTCTGAACCCAAGTAGAACGGGATTCTTTGCCAAGGGCCCCTCACTTGGGCGTTGATGATGCGTCTGTGCAACGAACGGTCCAGCCTGAACCAACGACAGGCGCGTCGCGCGCTCCTTACCTGGCCCGACCCTGAAAATGCCGGAGCCACCAGATCCGGAGCAAGATGATTGATAACTTTTAGCGCAGTCATACGAGAAATATCAGTAGTTGTAGTGGTGGTAGCAGCAGAAGTAGTAGGAGTAGTAGCAGCAGGAGTAGCAGCAGTAGTAGCGGTAGTAGCAGCAGGCGCAGCAGCAGCAGCAGCAGCCAGCAGGAGTCGTAGCGTCGTAGCAGTAGCAGGAGAAGCAGTACCAGTAGCAGTAGCAAGAGCAGTAGCAGTAGCAGAAGCAGGAGCTAGTAGGACTAGTAGCACGAGTAAGCAATTTTTGTGGTGGTACTGGTAGTATTAAATTACAGAAAGGAACGCTGTGGGGGCC